TTTTTTTGGCGAAACTTATTCTCAAATATCTCTTTATCAGGTAAAATCAATATCACCTGTACTTTGCACAGCAGTTTTTATTATTAATTTGTCTTAATTAACTTAATCATATTATTTTCCCATTACAGTTGCAGCTACATTAAGGAAGTTTTCTTTACAAATTATATTATAAAAAACTACGAATCACCGCCTCGCGGAAAATGGGATTGTTCACAGCACTTCTGGCTTCCCACACACATTTTGCATATGCATATAGCTTACGTCACAGCTCACCATTGACATTTTTTAGTAGTAAAACTTATTACCAGAAATCATTTTTATAGAGAACACAAGTTTTGCATTAAAGGTTCTCAAAACATGTGTTCAATAAGTATAATGTTACGATTAGAAAAAAAATGACAGACTTGCATTTAAAAGCAATAATGTCCCCGCTGTGAAACTTTAAAAATCTTTCAAAACCTCACACTTGGATTTTTAAACTAGTATTTATAACGGAACTTTCTAGAATACAGCTTACAGGTGTTTATAAACATATTGATGTGTTAAGACAATAAATGATTGATGCTACTCATTGTACAAAAACTGGAGAGTCTATGTGCAATAGTTTAGGAAATATTTAAATTTGACGAAAGTTGCGAGACGAATTTTTCACCGCCTCTTACATACTAACGACGGTGAGATGTGAGTGGGTCTGAGCCAGCTAAAGTTCTTATCAGAAGGGAAGTGATTTGAAACGTAAGGGAAAAAAACTGTGCGCCGTGTTTTAAACTATCAAGTGCAATCGATAACTTAAGTATAGTACGAAACGGGATATAATATTTTCTTTTGAAATAAAACTCCAGCACTAGATTACCGACGCCACAAATCAAAAATATTTAAATTAACTTCAGATCATTTATTTGTAGGAACAAGACCATGATATTGCTCGTATTTTGATTAAAGAACAAAGTGCATACAAATTAAAACAACTTTTTCAGAGCATGATTTTCAAAGTTTTAATAAGAAGAAATATGACTTACAAGAGAGTCATGACTTTGGACTATCGGTCTAAAACTTTAAATTTTCACACAAAGCAAGACGAAAAAAAAATTAAATATCATTGTAAAAAAACCCAACAATATTATTATAATAATATAGAAATACATTTAGAGCAAAGACAGGCTGCATCAACAGCCAACAGTACCTGTGTGGTGAGCAAAGACGTCCTTGGAGAATGATCCTCTGTACCTCCTCCCTGTCCCCAGACTCTAATATAGCATGGCTCACAGTCAAGGATTTCGCAATACACAATATCAAGTTTCTTCGGTTACCATTTGGTGATCTTGGCCTCTTTTCCACGACGTACGTTAAGAATATTATCATTGTATAATATCTGGTGACTGCAGTTTATATTTTTTAACAGCAAAAACAGCAAAATTTAACATATGACACGCTAGGGGATACGGTTTCTTTTCTGTTTTTGGTAAGTATTTTACGGCGCTCTCAACTGCATAGGGTCATAATATGAGCGCGCGGGACACACCAAACATTTTCAGTGGGTACGAAATTTTGAATTTTGCCCGGGTGGCGGCCGAAGCCTACTCTGACCGATTTTAGATCACCAAGCGATCTTTAACGTGAGGAACTTGCACACGGGACCTCCGAGATTTTTCGCCCTTGTCCGAGAGAGCTAGGTGTAGATCTTACCTACCATAAGATCAGGGGTATGGCTGAAAGACAGCAGTAAGAAGGAGCCAAGGAGAAGCAGTATACAAGGATAATCTGACAAAACGCATTCTTCTTATTTGTTTATGTGTCTTTAGCTAAAATTCGATAACATTTGGGTTAGCCAGGATAAATGAGATATTTTATCTTCATGTGGGATTGTCAAACGAAAACAAGATTGCTACTTAAATTTGTTTGCTCGATTAGCAAACCCACACCCTCAAAAAAATTTTTTTTTAAAATAATTAAATAAATAAATAAATAAATACAAAATGTAAGTCGCGATTATCTCGAAACCTTGATTTTGAGAAAATGCGTTTTATCAGATCACAGCAGTATAGTAGAAAGGCTGCAGAAAGAGTCAGGAGCCCAGAGGAGAGGGCAAAAGAGGTGAGGGGGTGAGGACTGAAAGTGGAGACAAAAGAAGACGACAGAACAGTGTTAGGGAGCAGGGGAGGAGGTGAAAGGAGAAAATTCGAGTAAAACCTGGATTCGAACCCGGGACCTTTGAATGAGAGGCGGACACCTCAAGGACACGAGATCCCCCGATGTGAATTAAGTCAGTTACTGGCTCTCTCTGTGTGTTACCGACTGGGCTTCCAAAAGTTAGTATTTCTTTAGCGAGAGACTGAGAGAGAGAGAGAGAGAGAGAGAGAGAGAGAGAGAGAGAGAGAGAGAGAGAGAGAAAGAAAGAGAGAGAAAGAGAGAGAAAGTGAAAGAGAGAGAGAAAGAGAGAGAGAGAGAGAAAGAAAGAGAAAGAGAGAGAAAGAGAGAGAGAGAGAGAGAGAGAGAGAGAGAGAGAGAGAGAGAGAGAGAGTTTACGTTATCTTTTCTGCTCAGAGACTCCGAGATATATATATAATATATATAATATTGAAAGTCATTGGCCTACTATATGTACACTCTACTGGAAGAGAGCAATAGATCTTGACAGTTGCAAAAAGTAGAAGGTCTAGATATATACTCTCAAAACAAAATGCACCTCGCGAATTATCACTTCCGGCACTTCCGTTTTGAAGGACAGCTACGCAGATTTGGTTCGTTTCTCAGTGGAATAATCACAACGGCCAAAGAAGGACGGGAACTTTTTGTCAAATATATTTTTCTAAATTCAGGAAATAGATACATGAAAAATGGGGCTCCGTCATTGGGACCTATCTATCTTTTTGCAGGCACTTGCCAACTTTCAACTCTGTGGCTATCGTAGTTTTATGGGAAAAGAGACACATGTGTTTCCAAGTTGCTAAATATATAACAGAAGGTCCACTCTCAGATTTTGTGAACAGCTGCAAAGTTGTATTGACCTTGGAAATAACAACAGTTCATGGTCGACCTCCATTTTTGCCTTTTGTCAATAACCCTTGCCGGTATATACAGTAGACATAATTCATTTCGTAACGGGTTTTTTTTTACTACTTTATCTTACGAAATAACATTGTTGCTTGACCGCATAACCCCAAAATGAGCTTTGAAATATATATATATATATATATATATATATATATATATATATATATATATATAAAATTGCATCATTTTGTTTCACCAAATATCGGTAGAGGTAAAATTTCGACCCCCAGATCTTACATTAAGTCAAAGATCGTACATAACAAGATTGCTCACTCTGCCCAAAAAGTGTCCGCGGAAGTCCGCGCATTGATTCAGATGGCTCTGCAGCGCGTGTTTGTTTTGAAGATCTTTTTCGTTTCTCCAGAAAAGAAAAGGAATAGCACAGTTTGTAAGTTTCACTTGTATAATTTTTCACACAAGTAGAGTAACTCTGTTCGCAAAGTCCGTGCTTTTTCGAAGAGGGCGCGCCTCGAATTTTGAGGACACATGTTCAATTGGCTGAAAGAGAGGAGTGAATATCTTGTTATTCACGATCTTTGATTAAGTTAAAAGGCGTTAGATGTGCATGGTGGGCGATTGGCGGGTGCTCTGGTGTGGTTTGCTCCTTCTTTCCTATCAAACATCTATCGTCCTGATCTCTCCTCCTCCTTTTTTGTGTTTGTTACTCCCTTGTATATGTAACGCCTCTAATCTTCTGGCGCTCATATGACCTTATGCTTTTGGGAGCGCCGTAAAACCTCTACTAAAACAAAAGACGTGCTTGACGTCATAGCGACGGAAATGCAGTCTCCCCACTGAGAGCGGAGACTCTGGGCATGCGCAGTGAAGCAAGTACGTTCCGAGTAGAGCGGTCAAGTCTATGTTTGGGACAAGAAAAACGTAGCACAATGTTGCTGCTTTTGCGAGCGCCGTAAAACGCTAAAAAAAACAATTGGTCGCTTTTAAGCACAAGGGGTCTATAACGAAAAAATGCTCTTTTGAAAAAATTGGAGGTAAAGTTTTTGGACCTTCTTCAGTTTCTCTAAAAGACAAGAAGAGTTTTCTCTATAACCAAACAGATATACAGACCAATGAAACCAAACTTCTCCTATAGATAGAGCAATGCCCACTTTTGGTGTAGTTCAAGATTTCTGGAAACCCTCGAAATCTAGGTTAGCCCACTTGTCCTAAAAAGCGACCCATTATGTTGCAGAATAATTAAGTTAGGATTCTCGTTTATAAGATGACAAAACACATTGTTGGGATGAAGTGAGTGCCCTACGAACTTGATGTGATTTGTTCAAGGTTACTGGTAAACATCAACATATTCTGGAGCATGCACACATACACACACGCGCGCACATGCACACACACACATGCACAGACACACACACACACACACACACACACACACATACACACACATACACAGACACATGAATACACACGCACACGCACACATATACATAGACACACAGAAACACAACCAGGCACACATACGTACGCACACACAAGCGTGCATGCACACATACACACACACACACACACACACACACACACACACACACACACACACACAAGTATGCTCCCACATACACCGCACTCACACACCAAACGCCAGAGAGCGAGACAGATAGATAGATAGATAGATAGATAGATAGATAGATAGATAGATAGATAGATAGATAGATAGATAGATAGATAGATAGATAGATAGATAGAGAAAAAAAGAGAGAGGAGGGAGAGAGAGAGAGGGGGGGAGAGGGGGGGACGAGCGACAGAAATAGACCGACAGACACATAGACATACCGACAGAAAGACAGACAGACAAGCATAGAATATCTAGTTATTCTATTCTTAACCTATCTGGTGGGAAAGAGGCCAGGATCACCAAATGGCGCTGGAAAAAACGTAACACGATATTGCGAAATCCTGGGTGGTGAGCCACGCTATATTAGAGTCTGGGGACAGGGAGGAGGTACAGAGGATCATTCTACAAGAAGGTCTTTGCTCACCACACAGGTAGTTTCGGCTGTTCATTTGTTTGTTTTTGTAAAGTGTTTTACGGCGTTCGCAACTGCTTAAGGTCATATGAGCGCACGGGACACACCTAATATTTTCAGTTGGTAGGAAATTTTGAATTTTGCCAGGGTGGCGGCCGAAGCCTAGTCTTACCGATTTTAGACCACCAAGAGATCTGTAACGCGCACAACTTGCACACGGGCCCTCCGAGATTTTTCGCCCTTGTCCGAGAAGGCTAGGTGTAGATCTTTCCTACCAGAAGATCAGGGGTGTGGCAGAAAGACAGCAGTTAGGAGAAGCCAAGGAGTAGCAGTAGAAAGGCTGCAGAAAGAGTCAGGAGCCCAGAGGAGGGGGCAAAGGAAGTGAGGGGGTGGGGGCAGAAAGTGGAAATGAAAGCAGGCAACAGAACGTTGCTAGGCAGCAGGAAAGGAGGTGAAAGGAGACAATTTTAGAGAAGAAAATGTTTCGGTAGCTACCCGGATTCGAACCCGGGACCTTTGAATGAGAGGCCAACACCTTCACTTCAAGGCCACGAGAGACCCCCCCCCCCCCTAGTTTGGGCTGTCGATGTAGCCTGTCTGTAGTGGAGACCTTTATGAAATTTTATTTACTATTACAGAGCTTTTTTTTTTACTGGTTTCTTTTCGTCTTGCTTTGTGGGAAAAGCTAGTCCTGATAGTTTGGGGTGATGTTCGTCCTTCGCTGGCGAAGATGACCTTGACTTCACATCACTGGAGGGGTGGGGTGTGTGCATAGATGGCTGATCCGGCCGATCTTCTCACGGAAATGTCTGTTGCAGTGGGGGCAGGGGATGTTTAGGGCTGAATTAGGCTTGAAGGTAGGGCTCTCTCGGTCTTTTCTCAGCTGCCGTCTCCATTGTTTGGGGTAGAGTATCTCTTGTTAATCGTATTGCTCAACAAACCTATGAGAAGACGTTACTGACAAAAAGTTTTGTATACACACTTATTCATCTTCGTTTGTTCTTTAAATTCAATGCAGAATCATCTCTTTTTCCTTTCAGCATTACACCTAACTCTCCCCAAAAAGCAGAACGATGTCCAAGTTTTCGACATTAGGTTTCCTTGTCGCTGTTTTGGCGGTATGTGCCCTGGACCACCTGACCACCTCGGCCTCTGTGGGTCGCGTGGTCAGACAGATCTCCAACGGCTCTTCCCCCAACAGCACACACAGATGTATTCCTGACTTGACGTTCCACTACAACGAGACCACCGGAAGCTGGCAAGCCGTTCTTCCACCTGTACTCTCCAACGGATCCGATTCCAACGTTAACAGTAATGATACTTGGAGCCCAAGAAACTTCACCGAGTTCTTCAGAGGGTAAAAAGATCATCATCATCATTGCCTTTCTCACCCTGCACCCGGGTATAGGCCACAGACAAACACCTTCCACCTTTCTCTATCCTGGGCTAGCCTCTTGATGTTATTCCATGTCTTCCCACTTTTCTGTACATGGGTAAAAAGATACACAGACATAATTCCTTTGCTTCCTGTAGGTTTGACACAAAATGGTCAAAATCCACTTGCTACACTTCCCCTCCAGTAGTGACAGTTATGGTGGGCGTATGAAGCTTTCTTTTTTTAAAGCAAAGAAAAGTACTGATAGGCCTATTCAAAGACCACACAAAATCTATTTGTGAGGCTGCGTGGTGGAATCAGGCTCTCGTCAATTTTTGGGCTTGTAGAGTTAATGTTATCCTTTTAAGCTCATTCACTTGTCTTTATTTAGTTAAAGAAAATATACATTTACCTTGAATACAACCCGAGATATTTGTGAAAGAAGGAGATGGGTGTCACCTGTTTTCAAAGGAAAAGTTACTGAGAAAATAGCCACCACAGATTAGTAATTTCCATAGCTTAAGAGTCCGTGGTAACTGAACATTTCCATTTTTTGTGCCTTTAATAGACGTTTTCCAGGAAAATCCACACAGAAATGAGTTCTTTAATGGGCATGAAATGTGTTGAGCCAAAAACAAAAATTTGATAAAAATTCACAAACCTGCGGAAAAATGCAAGTTTCTAGATTTTGATTATTTTGACGAGAGCCTGATTCCACCACGCTGCCTCACATTTAGATATACACATCATGCTTTGCTGTAAAGGAGACATAAGTCAAAGTCTCTTTAAATTGATTTAAACTCACTGTTGATAGCTTCTTTGTTTGAGTTGGGAGATTTAAAAAATGTCGATGTATCGATGTCTTCACAAACAGAGACGTGTAAGATTAATGTTGGCCTGAATAAAACTGTATACCCTCGAGATGTGCATTTCTTGTCAAATTGTTCTCTTAAATAGTAAGTAAGTAAGTAAGTAAGTAAGTAAGTAAGTAAGTAAGTAAGTAAGTAAGTAGGTAAGTAAGTAAGTAAGTAAGTTAGTAAGTAAGTAAGTAAGTAAGTAAGTAAGTAAGTAAGGAAGTAAGGAAGTAAGGAAGTAGGTAAGGAAGGAAGTAAGGAAGTTAGGAAGTAAGTAAGTAAGTAGGTAAGTTTATTCAGTGTTCAAGGCTATTGGCCCACGTCACATCCGTATATATAGTTTTCTTAAATAGATATGTATGACCGGGCACTCATCCATTCTAGCTATAATTAGCCGGGGTGCTTTTATTGTTGAGTGGATATGAGGTTTTTTATTTCTGTTTTACTCTTCCTGTACCTCTGTCTATGTGTTGTGCATGTGTGTGTGTGTGTGTGTGTGTGTGTGTGTGTGTGTGTGTGTGTGTGTGTGTGTGTGTGTGTGTGTGTGTGTTTGAATCTGTTTATTCCTTATCTGCCATCGACTCACGATTTGCCATCTTTTTGTTTTTGTCTGCTGTCAGTTTTGATGTTGTTCTTTATGCTGTTGGTGAGAATGAATCTACAGGTGAAATAATACATTTGTATTTCAGAATTTTTTTTCTGTCTTAGGACTTAAGTTTGAAAACAAATTAACATTCCAGGACTAATCAGTAAGTAAATAAATTTACTCCATATTTAAAGCTGTTGGCCCACGCCATATATAACACTCATTTATTGAATAAAGCCTACTTAATGAAATTCAAGAATAATTAGTAAGTAATTAAATTTATTCAGTGCTCAAAGGCATCGGCCCTAAATCACATAACAAACTCATTTATTAAATAAAGTTTCCTTTATGAAATTCAGCAATAGCCAGCGACTAAATGTATTCAGTGTTTAACACTTCGCAGTCATGTGGCGAAATAATGCTCCCGAGGAAATTATCCGTTCATAACTAATCAGACACATCACCAAAACTACCGTCGCGTGATTCGAATCACGAGCTTCCTCTTCAAGCATGACATCATGACAACATCCTTCACCTGCAGCCCAGAGAGCCAGAAAGTCTCCATAATGAAATTCAAAAATAATCGAAAGGCAAGTAAGTTTATTCAGTGTTTAAGGGCATCGGTTCTAAGTCCCATAAACACTCATTTATAGAACAAAGCTTCCATTATGAGATTCAGAACTAATCAGACACATCACCAAAACCACACGCACGTGATTCGAATCACGAGCTTCCTCCTCTAGCATGACACCATGACAACATCCTTCACATGCAGCCCAGAGAGCCACAGAGAGCCACAGAGAGCTAGCCACCTGTCGATGTTACGTATCGGCCACACGTGATTCTGTTCTGTTTTAGTAGAGGTTTTTACGGCGCTCGCAACTGCGTAAGGTCATATGAACGCCAGAAGATTAAAGGTGTTACAAGAGAGTAACAAACATAAAAAGAAGGAAGGGAGATAAGGATGTTAGGCGTTTGATAGGAGAGAAGAAGCAAACCACACCAGAGCATTCGCCAACCACCCATGCATGTGATTCTTGACCAGTTGACCTTCACTCTGTGTGACCCAGGACAGGATATGTCTGTTAGTTATCCGGCACACCGGCAGCGTCTGTGGTGTAGCGGTTAGGCTCTTCCTTGTCGCAAGCTGGAGATCCTAGTCTGATTCCCGGGTACGGAGAAAAAATAGAGTCTAGTATCTCAGTTTTTTTCTGCAGGGATATTTTATCCCTCTCTGAACGTCTGCCAAAATGATAAAAGGTGTAGCGGACTCGCAACCGTAAGGTCGTGGGTTCGAATCACGTCAAAGGCCCGACGTTGTGTCCTTGGGAAAGGCACTTTACACGAATTTACTCACTTCACCCAGGTGGGAATGGGTACCCGGCTATAGACAGCGAAAGATCTTGTCAGTTTGTTAGTGTTTGAGCGCTTAATCGGCTGCTTGCACTGTAACCTTCCCGGGAAGCTGAGAATGTTTCGGAGTGCTCTATGGTCTGCTGGGGTAATAATATAGTGTAAAGCGCATAGGGCCTGCTGTTGAGCGGGGATATGCGCTATACAAATGCTATTTATTATTATTATTATTAGCGAAGAAGGCATAAAAACATCTGTCTTCAATTTATTTAGTTCATCCTATATGACCTAATACTCAATGCACCTGTCAGAGATCAGGCTGTGAGGTTGTGGCCCTGATCTTCTAGGTGAGGTGGTCATCTCGCTACTTCGTTACAAAGTTTTATCTGCTCAGTATCTTGTGTGAGAAATTTGATGTCAAACAGAATTTTGAGTTGCACATCATGTCAATCTTTTTCGAATGCAATTCTTTTCTTACCATGAAAACGACTCCGAATAATCTTACGATTTTGATAGAGCAGATAAAATATTTGGTTTCTGATCTCATAGCCTTAAATGTCAAATAGAACTTTGTAATTCTAAGTTATCAGTCTGCCAACATCATGTTCAGAGTTCATTCTGGTCAGTATTGGATCTGCTTAATTGTTCGTTCAGCTTTTTAGTTTTAGCAAAGCTCTTGCAACATGAAACAGCTAATATAATTAAGGCGAACGATTAGAGATGTTACGATACAGACAAAGAAAAGAAGGGGGAGAGAAAAGGATGAAATTTGTTTAATAGGATAGAAGGAGAAAACCACACCAGAGCACCCGACACACATTAACATTTGTGTCACAACGCGGTGGAATCAGGCGCTCGTCAATTCTTTTTATTTGTTGTTTTGTTGTTTGTTTGTTTTTTTGAGCATGTGGAGTTATTGGTATTATCTTAAAGCTTGTTCATTTGTCTTGGTTTTGATGAAAAATATCCATTTATTGTGAATACAAGTCGAAATATTGGCGATTGAAGATAGTGGTGGTCGCTTGATTTCAGAGGTAAAATTAGTGAAAAAATGGCCGCCAAAGTTTAGTTATTTCCTTATCTTGAGAGTCCTTGGAACATGAAATTATTTTTTTTGGGGGGGTCATTTTAATCATTATATTTTTTCCTATTAAAATCCTCACAGAAATGTTTTCTTCATTGGTCATAAAAGGTTATGTGCCAACAAAAACCCAACAAAATCGACCAAAATTCCCGAACCCGGGTAAAAATGCCAGTTGCTTCACTGTCATTGTTTTGACGAGCGCCCGGTTTCCCCACGCTACCTCACATTTTATTAGTCTCCAAGAAGAAAGGACTCAGATTCTGAACTGCGGAATAAACGTATACAACGCTGTTTTGTTTCAAAAGCAATCAAAATTCTGAAACTGAAACGTTTTACAAAAAACAAACAAACAAACAAACAAACAGCATTTGAACTATCCAAATCAAACGCAAGGGATATGAAATGCGAAACGCCTTTTAAACATTTTAACATTGTTTCGTGACAATACATTTCTCCTCAACCAAAATAATAACATTTTTATGATTGTTTCAAGCGTTCTTTGTCAGTGTTCTATGATAAGATAAGATAAGATAAGATAAGATAAGATAGGATACATCTTTATTCTCCAGATCCAGCACAGTTAAGTGGTTTGGATTTTCACCACACACACACACATACACACACACATACACACACACATACACACACACACACATGCACACAGACTCACACACACACACACACACACACACACACACACACACACACACACAAACACGCACACACGCACTCACACACGAAAACACACTCATAAACACACGTAAACACGCGGCACTCACACACATACACGAAAACTCTCACACACAAACGCACGCGCGCACATACATCCTCTCCTCCACACACATCTGTGCACATAAACAGAATAAATCTATTGCATGCTTGCACTCACAAACGATAAGCTACTTTAGTAAAGTACTCTCAAACTTTTGTTGAAAAATACGACACAAAAGAGAACTATCAGGCCGAAAACTCCACATTTTCCCCACAAAGCACGGTGAAAAACCCCAAAAAGTAACAATTAATAAATATGAAATAAAGCTCTTTAATTTGTAACAATGAAAAACGTTCAAGAGTAAACAAGTAAGTTATTCAGTC